TGAGGTGGGTGGAGGTCTGAACGACTTGCACATGTCTATATTGTGTTTTGAAAGGGGGATTATGAACCTCTCCGATGGTTCTGATTCAGCGATATATATATATATAACAAATATGTTATATATATATAACATATGACACGAAAAATTAAATCTCAACCCTTAAATCTGGTTCACTAAAAGCTAAAATATATTATCGAGTTACACATTTGTGCAGACCCTTATATACAATTTCCACTTAAGTGATATAGCTCTCATTATGAAAGTTCAATGGTACTCGACCATTTTACTCTACGTAACAATAATCACAATAATATTTGTAGTGCAATAAAAAAAATATGAAATTCATAAACTAGACAATTGTCTCATTTTACAAAAGCTAGTAAATTATAGTTTATAACTAGTCAATTGAATTACCAATCTGGCAATCTCGTATAAAGAGCCTGAATTGACTCAAGACAGATCAATGCAAAACTCTCCTGTGAAATTAATCAATCCAAAGTTTTTGTTTACAAACCAGCCAATTTAATTTAATTATCTCAAAATGACACAATTATGCGAAAGTATTACGACGAGCAAGGGTGGAAATCAGTACGGTATCGGTATCCCAATATCAAATACTGAAATCTCGTATACCGAATTACACTATCCCAATCTCAATCCCTAAATAATTTCGGTATCCCAATCTCAATCCCTAAATATTTCGGTATCCCAATCGGTACTTCGGTATCCCAATCGCTATTATCGAATATGAATTAATTACCATTGCAATTAATAATTAAATATATAAATTAGATTTGATTGTTTAATATAGGACAAATGAACTAAGCAAAGAGACTTGAGTTTGACTAGCCGCTAGGATATGGATAAGGAGAATGGAGGTGATGTGACATCTCAAGTTTTTGTCATTGGTAATCTTCAATTTGACGAATTGGAGGTTGAGAGAAGACTAATACTAGTGTTTGCTTTTTGGTGTTATAAAAATAACAGGAAATTGGTGGTTGAGAGTCGTGTAGTAGTGAATGAGATAGACTAGTTGAGAGGATAAAATACGAGGATTGTTATTTACCGCCTGTAGAATTACTAACTGCCGCCCACAATTTTAAAGTAAATGACATTTTTGCCCTCCTTCATATTTGTCACCCACCCCAATCAAAGCTCACATTCGATTGCTTTCCTCCCTCTGACCTCCAACATCGTTCCGGCCGTTTTCATCGCGTCCTCCCTTCATCGTCGGCCTTTAACAATAAATGGGGGAAGTTAACGTGGAATGCAATTATATATGTCCACTTTGCATGCACTAACGTTGGAAATATATTAATGGGAAACACAATCATAATTGAAAATAAAACATTAATCTCGTTAAACCTACCTTGTCGGCATCATCATCATCTTCCCGGCATCCCATGGATCGAAGCTCGCGCGCCTTCTTCTCGGCATCATCATCATCTTCCCGGCGTCGTCTGACGGAGATCAGCGGTCCGACGATGGAGTTCGGACCACGTCCGATCGGCGGCGTCGGACAGGCCGCCGGTGTTTTTCTCTCATTTTTTTTTTTTGCGAAAAATAAAGTTTGTTTTAGGGTTAATTGCATGGTTGGTCACTGAGATTATAAAAAACGTTCATATTTGGTCATTGGAAATATTTAAATCCAATCTTGGTCACTCAAATTAGTTAAATGGTTCAAGTTTGGTCACTCTCCGTCCAACTCCGTTAACTTTTGCTTACATGACAGTCAACTATTACAGTTGACCGTTAAATGTGTGACATGACAATTAAAAAATAATAAAATAAATAAAATTTAATTATTTAAAATTGACACGTCATTATTACACTATTATAAAAAAATCTTTTAGTTGTGGCCACCGTCACCGACGCTGGACGTGCTTCAGCAGCGTGGGGATCTGGGTTCGTTGCCACGACGGTGGAATTGACCGCCGAGAAATGGCTCACCGATCTCAAATCCATTCACCGGAGCAAGCAGGGAGGAAACATACAACGTCTCCGGCAAAGACCCTAGAGTTAATACTAACAATAAATTTACCTTAACGTCCTCGATCTCTGACGGTGAAACGGGTGGGCTGTCGGTGATTGAACCGTTGAGTGGGTCTCTGCTGTGTGAATGCCTGCTGGAAGTTCTCGGAGACACCTCTTGCGGGTGTCGGAAAAACAATTTATCAAGAACAAAACAGAGCAATGGACATTAGTCGGAAGGATTGATTTAATGGAATAATTTATTAATTTAATAAATAAATGGCAACTGAAATGTGTGGCATAGGTACTCTGTTTTTCTTCTTCTTATTCTTCTCTACTGTACGTTACGAAGAAGAGCAGAAAGGGGAAAAGAAGCTCACCGAGTGGGACAAGATACGGTCCATGACCATCCAGGAGGTCTCGGAGGAAGCGAAGGAGGAAGCAAACAGCGGCGGCACTGCATCCTCTCGTCCACCAGAGCCTTCGTCGTCGGGCTAGACACCACCACTCTACTTCTCTTCGCCGTCACCGATAGTCTGTATATCAACCCAATCGATCTAATTTCTTGTTTCCTCCAATTCGAAGAGATGCATGAGTGAAGGAAGTTGTTGTGATGAAATCGACCACCACTGCAAAACAGGGAACCAACAGCCACACAATTTCTTCTTCCCCGAACGCCTGACATCCTCTCCCTAGCACTCTCGACCGATCCGGACTCACCAGGAGCTGCTACGCCAAACATTGACCATCTTCGCTCAACCTTCCTCGCCATTTGGTTACGCCGCCGTTGAAAGCTGCAGAAATTAAGTTATTGGTTTGCTCAGCAATAGACGGCGGAGGAGGCAAATGACAAAGTTCCTGTTCATTCTCCCTTGCCTAGTCCCCACCGGCGATTCTCCTGGAAGAAGAAAAGATGGGCTTCTTTGGTATTCAACTCCTCCCATCAATTCACAGAAACACAGATCCCCCACTCTACTTTCATCGGTGACAATTAAAAGAATTTATTTTATTTTTCTATTATTTAATATTTGTAATAATGAGGTGAAAAATTAAAAAAATAAATTAAATTTATTTTATTATTTTTTAATTGCCACGTCACATATTTAACGGTCAATTTTAAGAGTTGACTGCCACATAAGCAAAAGTTAACGGAGTTGGACGGAGAGTGACCAAACTTGGAATGTTTAAGTAATTTGAGTGACCATGATTGGATTTAAATATTTCTAGTGACCAAATATGAACGTTTTTTTTAATCTCAGTGACCAACCATACAATTAACCCGTTTGTTTTATAAATTATAATTGTGATTAAAGGGAGTTAAGGTAAGATTGATTTTTCCATTGGACGTGATATTTTATAATTATTTAAAGGTTTATTTAAAATTATTAAATTCACCTATTGGAGAGGAAATTAAGAAAACCCTAAACTTACCTTTATTCACTAAATATTTTACGCAAAAATAAAAAATAAAAAAATACTTTAAGTGATTAAATTAAACTCAACTACTATTAAAACAGGTAATTATTTATTAAATTATGTTTCCCCTTGTAGCAATCAAAGAAGGAAATCATTAATAATAAAAAAATATTATTTATTATGGCTTAGACGTGATGATTATGTTTGCCCTAATTCCATACGTGTTTGATAATTATGTTAAAAAATAATATATTAATAAATTGTATTCCACCGTTAATCTAACTAATTATAAATAGTGTCTCGGGCAAAAAAGGAAATCCCTACAAATATTTGTAGCTTGTTAATTAGAGATAACATCATATAATTATTGGTAATCTTGGGTTAGATTTGTTCAACCGTGATTATATATATTTAACATAATAATATAATTATAAACCTTTAATCTAACTAACATACGAGTTCTTATTTATTTGAAAAAAATATATTGATAAATTATATTCCATACGTGTTTGAGTGTAATTAGGGGACGTGGGTTATTGCCTTATTGGGATGAATTTATTTCCGGTTGTTAATTAGGAAAATAATCATTAAATGCATTGAGAATAAATTACGTTGGGTTGGGTTGTTAAATAGGAAAATACAATTACAGATTGTTAATTACGGAAATTTCCTTCCGAAAACTTGTTACTCAAATTTCCTCTTCCGAAAACTTGCCTTAAAAAAATCTCTTTAATTTGCTTAATTATCGGATTTATAATTACTTAAAACAACATAACTTTTTAAATCCTAATTATGGTATTTTACATTTATTTAATTACTAAATAAATAATTAATAATTCAAATACGTTTTTTGAAGAAAAAAATAGTAACCGTCCGCCGCCGGGTCTCGGACCCCGTCCGCCACCAAAATTTGGACCCCGTACGCGTCCGGCGGTCGGACCCCGTCCGCCTTCGGCGAGCGTACCCCTCCAACGCCGGCGAGCGGACCCCTCCGACGCTGGCGAGCGGACCCCTTCGACGCCGGCGAGCGGACGCAAAAAAAAAATGTTTAGCTTCTCGGCAAGCTGCTTCCTCGACAGCGACGACGACAACACCGCGGCGAATGGAGGGGTCGTCGGCGGTGGGAGCAACGGTGAAGGGGCCTGGTCGGCCGGTGGTAGGATTTTGTGGAAGGAGGAAGGAAGTTGGTCGGCGGCGATGGGTCAGATAGGTTTGAGTTAGTTGGAAGAAAGGCAAAATCGTCTTATATTTTAAAACCATGGGGGGCAAATAGTAAATACTAGGGCGGCAAATAGTAATTCATTAAAATACACACTAGATTATATTTCGATATTGTTTGGTATTTCGGTATATACTGATCTCAATCCCTAATACCAAATAACAATTGAAATTGAATCCCAATCCCATAATCCCCAATACCAAATAACAATTGAAATTGAATCTCAATCCCAATCACAATTCCAAAAAATTATACGTGCATTCGATTATACAAATTCGGTACAATATTCAATATATATCTCAAATACTAGTACCAAACTTCCGGCCCTAGCCCTAGCGACGAGGAAAGAATTCTAGAGGGTTCCAGTTCGCTCCATTCATCCATTGTATTGTATTATTGTAGGACAAAACAAAAGAAACGGTAATTGCAATTTGCAGGGGATGGACGGCGTGGATCTGGTGGAAGCTTCAAGAGCCAGGATCTCTCAACCCTTTTTTCTGCTTCCATCCTGCACGGCTGCCAGCCCTGAATCCATCTTTGTCATAAACCTCTCCTCCGGCTCTCCCTAAACCCTGATCCTCCCATCTCCCTCGTTTCTCTTCTCTTCTCTTCTGGGTAATCTTAGTCTCCACTCAATCTTTCTTGTGCTTTCCCATTTTCCAAGGCCGCAATTCAGTTACTTGCATGTGAATTCGTTTTGCACCACCAGTCACTGCGTTTATTTGCTTCAGGAATCACCTGCTTGCTTTGCTTCTGTATTTGTGTTGTATTCTGGTCACGGATGTTGTCCTTCCTTACCTTATGTGACAGTGACATGCTTGCAAACCCTGGTTTTCCTCCCTTACCTTATGTGACAGTGACATGCTTGCTAGCCCTGGTTTTCCTTTCTATGTCTACCTCAATTCCGCTGTTGCTTATTTTGTCTCAAAAGGATTGGCATCAGCCTTTTGCTCGTAAAGGTTTTAGGATCTCTTTGTTCAGCATTTTTCTCTCTTACTGTTGCTGAGGGATGATTCTCAGTCGCTTAGCATTTGCCTGCCCTCCACTTCTAATACGAGGATCTTCTCTGCTGTTGCAGATAAGATGGCTTCAACCTTCTCTACCATGTCCTCCGTCGCTGCCTTGTCTACCCGTAGCGGCCCCGCTATGGACAAGAGACTACCTTCTCCTTCAAACAAGTTGTCTTCACTTGCATCCGTTTCCGGGAGCTCATTCGGGAGAAGACAAAATGTTTTGTTGAGAAATTCACGTTTGCCTATGACTTGTAAGGCAGCCAAGGACTTGCATTTCAACAAAGATGGCTCGGCAATTAAGAAGCTGCAGGTGTGTGTTATCTTTTTCCCTATACTTGCACGGACTTTTAAGGATTCAAGGACATGTCTTCTGGGTTGTGCTTATGTGGTCTTGGATACCTCTTATCCTCGTTTATTGTGACATTGCAGTCTGGTGTGAACAAGCTTGCTGACCTTGTTGGTGTTACTCTGGGACCTAAAGGCCGCAACGTTGTTCTAGAGAGCAAGTATGGCTCGCCGAAGATTGTTAATGATGGTGTAACTGTTGCCAAGGAGGTAAGCTACTTGTCAATTGGCTTTGCTGTTTCTGCTTTCAGTTGGCCTTTTGATGTTATACTGACCTGAATTCAACTCTTTTGTTCAGGTCGAATTGGAGGATCCAGTCGAGAACATTGGTGCAAAGTTGGTAAGACAGGCTGCTGCTAAGACTAATGACTTGGCTGGTGATGGCACAACAACATCTGTTGTCCTTGCACAAGGCCTTATTGCTGAAGGTGTTAAGGTCTGTTTGGTTTCCTGGTGTTGATTTTCATTTTCAATCTAGTTTTGCTCGACCATATACCGACTTTTGAGCACCTTTCCTAACAGGTAGTGGCAGCTGGTGCAAACCCCGTGCTAATCACTCGTGGCATTGAAAAGACTACCAAGGCTCTTGTCAATGAACTGAAGTCCATTTCAAAAGAGGTAATGTGGATTGATGCAGTTGGCTTGATGTCCACTTTGTCTTGGCGTGCTTCAAGTAAAAACAAGTAGTGATGATTCCAGGTTGAAGACAGCGAACTAGCTGATGTTGCTGCTGTTAGTGCTGGCAACAACTATGAAGTAGGGAATATGATTGCTGAAGCAATGAGCAAAGTTGGTCGAAAGGGAGTTGTGACTTTGGAAGAAGGGAAAAGTGCAGAAAACAATCTCTACGTTGTTGAGGGAATGCAGTTTGACCGGGGTTATATCTCACCTTACTTTGTAACCGATAGTGAGAAAATGTCAGTTGAATATGATAACTGCAAGGTATTCAGGTTTACGATTGCCTGAACAAGAATATTGAGACGCGTGTAAGGTTGAATAACGGTGTTACATATGAGTTCTTTTGTGCTGCAGCTGCTTCTTGTTGATAAGAAAATAAGCAATGCGAGGGATCTTGTTAACATACTGGAAGATGCAATCAGAAGCGGATTCCCGATCGTGATAGTCGCTGAAGATATCGAACAGGAGGCTCTTGCGACGCTTGTGGTGAACAAGCTTAGAGGAGCACTTAAGATTGCTGCTCTGAAAGCTCCTGGGTTTGGAGAGAGGAAGAGCCAGTATCTTGACGATATTGCTATTCTTACTGGAGGTCAGTTTAAGTCCTTAGTGTTATTTTATTCTTCTTGCTAACTGCTGAGGCTGTCATTATATCAATTATTTTGAGGAAGTGTGGATTCCATTTATCAGGAACTGTTATCAGAGAGGAGGTGGGCCTTTCATTGGACAAAGTTGGCAAGGAGGTCCTAGGAACTGCTTCGAAGATTGTCCTTACTAAGGATACTACGACAATTGTTGGGGATGGGAGCACCCAGGAAGCAGTAAACAAGAGAGTTGCTCAAATTAGAAATCTCATCGAGGTTTATGTTGTTGCCAACTTCTCAATGCTGTCCTGCTTTGTTTTGTATATCTGTTCTTTAATTACTTGAGAGAGATGAACTGTTGCAGGCTGCGGACCAAGATTATGAGAGGGAAAAACTTAACGAGAGAATTGCAAAGCTGTCTGGTGGTGTTGCAGTGATCCAGGCATGCCTTCGATTAGTTTTCACTTGTACTTGGATCGTTGTAACCTCCCCTTGCTGTGATTATTATGATAAAGTGTATGTTGCTGATAGGTTGGAGCGCAAACTGAGACGGAGCTGAAAGAGAAGAAATTGAGGGTTGAAGATGCTTTGAATGCGACTAAGGTATTGTGTCTTTTACCAAAAGCGCTCTTTGCATATCAGATAACTGGCTTAGGAGTTGGATATGCTAATGTTTCGCTGTGGGGCTATATTTCAGGCAGCAGTGGAGGAAGGTATTGTAGTTGGTGGTGGATGCACTTTGCTCAGACTTGCATCTAAAGTAGATGCTATTAAGGACAGCCTTGAAAATGATGAAGAAAAGGTAGACTCGGCTAACTTAGTAGTGATAATCTTGTATGTGGAACCCCCCCTAGTTTGCAGTCTGGCTGAATATTAGATGTTTGCTTACTTTGGCCGTAGGTTGGAGCTGATATCGTGAAGAGAGCTCTGAGTTACCCTTTGAAACTTATCGCCAAAAATGCAGGAGTCAATGGCAGTGTAGTGAGCGAGAAGGTAATATTAATATAACAATGTTGCACCTTTGTTTACTTGGAGCTCTGATACCATGAAATGATTGAATGCTGATGTGTGCATGTAACACAATGAAATACAGGTGCTATCAAGTGACAATCCTAAGTATGGGTACAATGCTGCAACTGGAAAGTATGAAGATCTAATGGCGGCTGGAATCATTGACCCGACCAAGGTGGTGAGGTGCTGCCTCGAACATGCCGCCTCCGTGGCCAAGACGTTCTTGATGTCGGACTGTGTAGTGGTTGAGATCAAGGAACCCGAGCCAGTGGCTGCCGGCAACCCCATGGACAATTCAGGTTAGCGGCTATAAGTGAACATCTCATCGAATTCTTGGTTTTTGAAGAGCACTTGCTGATGTAGTTAATGGTACTTACAATCGGTTGCGGTGTTGCTTTTTTCAGGCTATGGGTACTGATGATAGTAGGAGATCCGGTTAGAGGAAAAAGAAGCAAGAGCAGAGAACAATAAGTGGCACTGTAGGGGGGGTGGACCGAGGTAGTTTGGCGCTTCTATGAATGTACATTTTATGATATATTTTATTGCAGTGGCGGCATAGTAGTGTCCGGTGTAAGAGCATCTCCAATGGTGCAAATGGAGGGAGTTGCAAGTTGAGGTGGCATCTATGTGCAATTGAAAAAGTGGATGACATTGATGCAAAACCACTTTCAAGTGGTGAAAATTTACACACCATGAAAATCTGACATGGAATTGCAAGTGGGTCCTTAGTTGGTTTTTGTTTTTCTTTCTTCTTTTCTCAATATTTTGTGTGGTATTAAAATGTAAGTGGGACCTAGAATTGCAATTGCATTTGAATGACATTGATGTAGCTATATGAAATTGATGAGTGAAGTAATTGCTAGAGTTGTTTAGGTGGAAGTAGGGACCACAAAAGTGAAGAATGATTGCATTGTTGGAGATGCTCTAAGAGGTGACGACAAGCATGCTCCCTCATTATTATTATTATTATTATTATTATTATTATTATTATTATCTTATAGCGGACTACACTTTATTGTCCAAATTTGCAGCTACTATTTCATTTTTTGTCGGCTAGCGAGGGACTACTAGAATTGACGGGCCGATCTGAAAAGTGAAGAGAGCTACTACACGAAACCCTTCCCATCCCTTCACCGCAATCACAAGCAACCCTTTCATAGTGTCTCATCCCATCCTCTCACCATTTCAAGCTGTAGACTCTTCCCTACACGCAACCACCTATATCCTCACCTTACTCCTTTGAAATTAGAGAAGACCCCTATTCTCTGGTTCTATCATTCCTTTTCAATTTCAGCGGCACCTCCTCTTCCTACACCCAATTCTTCTGGCCACCTCACCACCTTGAACTACACCATCCTTTTGAAGCTAGCATGGACAGATGGAGACCCTAGGCGCTCCGGTGGATTCTCCAAGTTATCGACAATGTGGACGAACGAAATCGGTGAGTTCTCTTTCCCCTATTAGTTCTAAGAAGCCAACGGTTTCCGGCATCCACGCATATCTCTTCATCGGGATCTTTAGTTTTTCCCTGTTTTCCTAGGGTCTCATCAGTCTTATGTTAGGATCCTTCTTCTCTACTCATCGTCATTTTTTCCTGCTCCTTCACTCTGAATCTTAGTTTCTTTTCTTTTTCGCAGCGGGTAGACTTCGTCTCATCTTGGGCCGTGATGACTGGATTCGTGGAAGAGCTCGGTATTTTTAAGTTCACGGTATGAGTAGATTAAAATGATGAAAGATTCAATGCTCTTTGTTCCTTGGTTCTTTTATGGATGAAGTTTTATTTTAATTTATTTGCCTTTCTCCTTCAGATACATATATCATCCAATCTGGGTACTAAATGGGAAGAGCTGCAGGATCATACCAGCAACAATACGCGAACAGCGGTGAGCATTTTTTGGGTGGTTCCGGTGGGATTGTGTGTGTTAGCTCTCCTGCCATTTTTCTTTCCCAACAGGTTTCTACTTACAAGTTACAATTACCTCTCTTTGTTTGTGTTTTGGATTTATATTGCTCATGTTTGTTGTTAAAAAACCTTGGTTTATGTCATTAGTTTTGTTCTTTGCTGCTCAGCTTTGGAAGCCGATAAACAACGATCCTTTCGCCGTATACAGAGCCCGCATTCCCACCGTCAATCAATGAAAAAAGCACAAATCTTACGACTTTTCAGGGTTCCTAGCTCCCAATTCCATCACCTCTCCAGTATCAAACTGCAAAGGAGACGTAAGAGGAGTTCGAGCTGGCATTCAGTTCGTTCTCCATAGAACTCCGAAGCAGTAGTACACCGACAGGAGGGTATGGATACAGGTAGGAGAAAGATGAACTGATTTGTCTGCTTCCAATTAAGGTTTAAAGGAGCACTGTTGTAGGGAAGTTTTAGGTCCCTCCCAAACTTATTTTGTTGGTAGAGTTATGGAGCCATGGATATGAGTTTAATAGATTAGATTAGAGAATTGCCGAACTCATTTTTGCATCTATGGTTGAAAGACCATTTCCAAGTTTGCCCTCTGTCGAGTTTAACCCAACACCCACTTCGTGGACCTTATTAATATTTCGCAATAGGTCCTTCCCACTTTTGGGTATATATTTTGATTGTTTTTCTTCTGAATTAAAGCCTTACTTCGTTTACTTCTTCAAATTGGTTTTGTTCTCAGTTTCAAGCAACATCAATTTTGCTGAAACTTCCTGACTATCTTTCTCCTTATATGTGATTCATACAATCTTTGGTGTCACAGGATGATGCCGAGGAAGAAGACGGTTGTCATGATCTCGATTGTGAGGTCCGAATGAAAGGAATTGCTAAATATCGCGCCTGAAAAAAGAAATGGTAAGTCTGGCGGGTATGTTGTTTGGTTGGTTTTGTAGTGGCAATCATGCCACTACATATACTTCTAAAATTTAACTTTTGTGTGCTTTTTATTTCTTATCGAGGCTGTTGTACTCGAACTGTAGGCGAAATGGAGTTTCAAATCCTTTTGAATATGAAATTGGCTGTGATTAACATGAACATTATAGTTGGAGGCCTTTTTTGAATGAAAGCCAATGTTGTACTTGGCGGGGAGGGTGGAATTTCCTTTCAAAGATGTCAAACTTTTTCGTTTGCTTGCCCTGCATCATGTTCGTACGCCCGTACATGTCATTGATCTCTTTCCCCAACCACGAAATTGGGATTTTGGTTAATTGAAAGATATCAGCTGACACAAAAATGCACAACAGTTCTTTTATTAGCCATTTCATGGGATTTTATTAGTCTATGTCCTTCTGTCAATGGATTGTTTGGAAAGGGGAATTTCAGCCATGCATTAAATTGATGTGGTGAATTTGAAGCTCCCACAGTTAGGGAAGTTGCTGGGATTACAACAACATTTGCAGGGCCATTCGTGGTTATGCTGCAGCTTAAGAGAGAAGTATGTGCATTCTTTCCATTTGTGTGTAAGTGATCTCTTTATGCTTTTGAATTGTTGTGTTTCTTACTAAAGATGATTGGCGCTGCAGTGGGTGGAGTTATGTATTCCAAATAAGCTCCGAGACACAGAGATTCCGGGGTCAGCTTTTGAGGTCATTACCCTCTGGGACCCACTCGCCTTTGCCATTGCATCCACCTGCCACTGCAGATCAGACCTCTTATGTCCAAATGGTGTTGCACTGTAGAAGTTGGCATTTAATTTCTTGCCGCATTTGAACCCCTGTTATATGCTTATCTGGTTGGTACATGTAAGAGCACCGATCGTGTTTTGGCTTGCATCCAATGGCGCCGCAAGTTGGGACCTTATTTCACTTGCACATTATGTTTGGTTTATATCAGTACTCTTGAATTATCTAAATCATTATGCTCATGTAATATGAATGTTGTGACATGTCTTTCTTTCAGCCATGGAAAATGATGTTAAGTTTCTAATGTGTTGCTTCATTGTGGTTATGTCGTGTGATTGGCATGAAACCTATATGTCTTTCCTCAAATATGGAAAATTATTCTCCCACTGGTTGCTCAGCAATACGTTGATCCCAATAACTCGAGTTGTTGGGAGATGTTCAACCGTGGATCATATACAACAACACTAACATGCCCCCTCAAACGAAAGCCACTCACAAGGGCTTGAAGTTTGCACAGGTTTGAAGACAAGAATACCATGTGCTTAACAAATGGGGGTCATCGGGAATCGAACACAAGACCTTTTGGTCACAGAAGGCTTTGATACCATGTCAAGAATCAGTTGATCCCAATAACTCGAGTTGTTGGAAGAGGTTCAACCGTGGATCATATACCAATACCACAACACTAACACTTATATCAGAGCAAATTGCAACAGCCTGATTTGACCATAAACTAAACTGGTTATCCATTCATCACGACTCTGCAACTTAAGTCCCCGCCGCGTAGCAGATGGCATTTTTTATGAGTTTTACTTTTAATTGCTGGGTTTGGACTGCCAAACCTGTTAGTTTCCAGGTTACCCTTTCTATTAGAATGTTGCTGTGTTTCTACTGATCCCACAACAACTTGTTTTTTATTGTTCTCGAAAGGATGTGACAACTTCAAAGTCCGAAGCTGGCCAGCTGGGTAACAATTTCGGCGCCACAAAACACAAAATTACATAGAAGCAGCAGAAAATCAGCCGACACTCGTAAAACTGCAGTTTGGTACCGATTTTGAAAAAAATGAGCTGAGCAAAACGAAAAGAGGATACACAGAAGCAAAACCATAAACTTGAGTTGCTCCCTCTACTATTTCACAAGTTGTTTGTAATCTATTTGTTGAAGCCCTCTTCCCGTCCTGCCAATCTTGTTTTTATACAAAGTGCAGAGTGCTTTTAGTCTTTCCTTGCATGCCAACCACAAGACTAAAGAAGCTGATGCTGTAGGAATCCGTGGTGAGCTGTTGGTTATTTGCTCTTGAAACCAAAGAGGGACTTGATGGCATTGATTGCGTTCTCATTGATGAAGGATTCGTCAAATCTCTTGATAAGAGGATCAAAGCCAGGGGATGCTCTCACATTAGTCAAGTCTGGATCTGTCCTGATTCTCTGCTCGAACAAACAAAGAAAAAGCAAGCAGCAAAATTAGTGCGAGTAGGTGTTGATGTTGACTCTGAACTTCATGTTGTCGAGAATAGCCCTAACCTTGAAGTCCTCGAACCCGGATTTCATCGCTTCCTCAAGGGCAGAGAGGCCAGCTTGGACCTGGTCGAGCTTGGAGTAACAGCATGCAACATTGTAACTGGCCACAGCAGCTTCATCTAGCTCCGGCTTAGACCCCAACACCGACTCGAACTTCTCCAGTGCCTCCTCATATTTCGCCTCCCTGCAAATCCCATCAGCATTAGCCTTTGCCTCGGTTTCTTCTATAACTGAAAGGTTTCGAAATCAAATTCTAGTGACTGTTATTGTTGAACAATTGGTTTAAGCACCGAGTCACAATCGACCTGTATAAACCTCAAACTCATTACACAGAGAGTGTGTTGATCTGTTATCGGAAATTGACATTCGCATTAATTGGTACTTGGCATTGTGGGTTTTACTTGTAAAGTTGGAGACCGACACGAAGATCGTCTGCTCTTTGCTGTTTCTGCTCCATTTTCTTCATGTAGTTTTGGAGCTGCACATTACCATCAAGACAAGGTATTGAAGGGAAAAGGTTGAGTGGAAGATTAGCAAAACCTTGCTCAAACATATTCGACGCATAAATGATTGGCTTGGCTTGGATGGCAATAACAAGTCACTCACTTGAATCTCTCTAACTTTGTTGCTCACAACACCAGAGTTCCTCTCAGCTCTTATGATCTCCTTCTCCGTTAACTCACCCGAGTAATCCGTGCTGCCTGCCAAACAAAGCAACGGTTACGATTGATATTGGTGAGGAATACTTCCTTTAGATTGGTCCTGGTGATTCATCACACATTTCGTTGATGATATATGCAGTCGTACATACCATATCGCTTCTGCATACGCATAAGCAACGGGCCAATTCGTTGGCGAATGGTGTACATCGTCCTCCCGTACTCTGCCGCCGGCCATATCTCCGTCCCAAATACGGCACTGCATACGCCGGATTCCACACAATACCATTTTTCCTAATCACAACATTTTTCTTCATAAAAGAAACGGCTCAGTATCCCACTATTATCAGTATGAATTTATCAGGGATCACCTGGTAGCGACGACTCTGTCACCAACGGTGAAGAGGCCGGTCTTATCGGCTGCACCACCGGGGGCAATCGCGTCAATGTAAGTCCCACCGTCTCTTCCCTTGGCGAATTTCAGACCGTAGGGCTGAACCAGCTCCACTTCATACTCTTCGTACTTGTTGTTCTGTTCCTCGGCGTCTGATTGCTGCTGCTCCGCTGCTTTCGCCAAATGGGCAGTATTCCGTCTGCCGATTGGCGGGTTTTGATGGGTTCTTGCGATTCCCACCGCAGCGAAACTGATTCGAGAAATTGGAGCTTGGAGGAGTGGGAAGCGTGGGTAGGAGCTCCTTCTGCAACCTCTGGCGCCGCCATTGCTGCTGCAGCTAGTGGTTGATGGAGTTGTAGCTAAAGACATGACGGCTTTGCCGAAGAAATGGGGGAATGGGCTGCTAAAGGAGTGGGACTTCTAACAGGAAAGTAGTGGTGGGAAGAGGGCGGGAGCGGATCAGGACACTACAGCAAGGCGAAAATGTAAGAAGAAGAAGAAGAAGAAGAAGAAAGGAGAGGCTGCCATTGCATTGGATTTCATCGTTTTCCCTTTGCAGTAAATGACTAGTGGCTATCCTTTTCCTTTCTTCCGTTTCTACTTGCTAATTAATCCTAAAAGCTGCGACGTGTTTGACTTCTGACGTCCATATTTCTTAGAGACCTTTTTTCTTGCAAATTCCTACTCATGGCGTTCCTCTCGGTCACATGATTCCAACGCAACCTCCCTTCCCTCATTGGCCATCGGTGCAATGAGAATTGCACTTTTAAACCGAACTTTCGTGAGTCCACAAGCCTATTTGGTGAAAAAATGAAATTTCTTTAAAGACCTTTTTTATTGCAAATTCCAAGTCTATGGCGTTCTCTCGGTCACACGATTCCAACGCAACCTCCCTTCCCCTCGTTGGCCATCGGTGCAATGAGAAATTGCACTTTAAACCGAACTTTTCGTGAGTCCACAAGCCTATTTGGTGAAAAAATGAAATTTCTTTAGAGACCTTTTTTATTGCAAATTCCAAGTCTATGGCGTTCCTCTCGGTCACACGATTCCAACGCAACCTCCCTTCCCCTCATTGGCCATCGGTGCAATGAGAAATTCCACTTTTAAACCGAACTTTTCGTTAGCCCACAAGCCTATTTGGTGAAAAAATGAAATTTCTTTAGAGACCTTTTTTCTTGCCAATTCCAACTCTATGGCGTTCCTCTCGGTCACACGATTCCAACGCAACCTCCCTTCACCTCATTGGCCATCGGTGCAATGAGAAATTACACTTTTAACCGAACTTTTCGTGAGCCCACAGCCTATTTGTGGAAAAATGAAATTTCTTTAGAGACCTTTTTTCTTGCAAATTCCAACTCTATGGCGTTCCTCTCGGTCACACGATTCCAACGCAACCTCCCTTCCCCTCATTGGCCATCGGTGCAATGAGAAATTGCACTTTAAACCGAACTTTTCGTTAGCCCACAAGCCTATTTGGTGAAAAAATGAAATTTCTTTAGAGACCTTTTTTCTTGCAAATTCCAACTCTATGGCGTTCCTCTCGGTCACACGGTCCAACGCAACCTCCCTTCCCCTCATTGCCATCGGTGCAATGAGAAATTGCACTTATAACCGAACTTTTCGTTAGCCCACAAGCCTATTTGGTGAAAAAATGAAATTTCTTTAGAGACCTTTTTTCTTGCAAATTCCAACTATATGGCGTTCTTCTCGGTCATACGATTCCAACGCAACCTCCCTTCCCCTCATTGGCCATCGGTGCAATGAGAAATTGCACTTTTAACCGAACTTTTCGTTAGCCCACAAGCCTATTTGATGAAAAAATGAAATTTCTTTAGAGACCTTTTTTCTTGCCAATTCCAACTCTATGGCGTTCCTCTCGGTCACACGATTCCAACGCAACCTCCCTTCCCCTCATTGGCCATCGGTGCAATGAGAAATTACACTTTTAACCGAACTTTTCGTGAGCCCACAAGCCTATTTGGTGAAAAAAGTGAAATTTCTTTAGAGACCTTTTTTCTTGAAAATTCCTACTCCATGGCGTTCCTCTCGGTCACACGATTCCAACGCAACCTTCCTTCCCCTCATTGGCCATCGGTGCAATGAGAAATTGCACTTTAAACCGAACTTTTCGTTAGCCCACAAGCCTATTTGGTGAAAAAATGAAATTTCTTTAGAGACCTTTTTTCTTGCAAATTCCAACTCTATGGCATTCCTCTCGGTCACACGATTCCAACGCAACCTCCCTTCCCCTCGTTGGCCATCGGTGCAATGAGAAATTGCACTTTTAACCGAACTTTTCGTGAGTCACAAGCCTATTTGGTGAAAAAATGAAATTTCTTTAGAGACATTTTTTCTTGCAAATTCCAACTCTATGGCGTTCCTCTCGGTCACACGATTCCAACGCAACCTCCCTTCCCCTCGTTGGCCATCGGTGCAATGAGAAATTGCACTTTAAACCGAACTTTTCGTGAGTCCACAAGCCTATTTGGTGAAAAAATGAAATTTCTTTAGAGACCTTTTTTCTTGCAAATTCCAACCCTATGGCGTTCCTCTCGGTCACACGATTCCAACGCAACCTCCCTTCCCCTCGTTGGCCATCAGTGCAATGAGAAATTGCACTTTAAACCGAACTTTTCGTGAGTCCACAAGCCTATTTGGTGAAAAAATGAAATTTCTTTAGAGACCTTTTTTACTGCAAATTCCAAGTCTATGGCGTTCCTCTCGGTCA